GTAAACGCGCAGCAGACGCGCGTAACTTTTTTCCATGTTAACCTATGATAATATTTACACTAGTGTCATACGTGTGTATGACGGACGTATGACGCTCTAAATTAGGATGGATTTCTAATTTTGTGCGCGCACCAACGCGTCTCCCATTGAAATCTCATGTAAACATGATTTTTCTAGCGGCCCTTGGCTCTAGCTCACATCCACACACACAGATCACTCGTATCTAAACATCAGCAGGAGGAGCAGCAGGAGGAGCAGCAGGAGGAGCAGCAGGAGGAGCAGCAGGTTTTACAGTGATTCTGGACATTGTTTTTTTTCTTTCATAAAGTCTGGCGTCTGGTCAGAGCAGCACAGAGACCATGAAGACAAACACATGTGATTTGTGTTGCTCTACATCAGTCTCTGTACTGTCCTCTACACTGCTCCATAGACTACACAGGGACAGCATCAGAAGGACCTGCACGGCCTGTGTAGATACACACAAATAATGTTACACACACAGGGACAGCATCAGAAGGACCTGCACGGCCTGTGTAGATACACACAAATAATGTTACACACACATGCGCGCGGTCAACGCTTACGCGCTGTTAACGCCTACCGTGTAAATTCCCCGTTATGCTCAACTTCAGACATTACCCTGGTCCTCACAGTCCCAGACCCCGGTCCTCTCAGTCCCAGACCCCGGTCCTCACAGTCCCAGACCCCGGTCCTCACAGTCCCAGACCCCGGTCCTCACAGAATTAAAAATGTATTTAACAGTTCTCTCTGTTGCCGTGGTTACTACAACCGTATACCACACACAAATACTGCATTGTATCTGTGAAAGTCAGAGAAGTAAAGACTGTCAGCTGTGTGTGTTAGCGCGGATGCTATGCAGGCTAATGCTAATGCTAACGCATTTCTTCCTTTCCTTATTAGGCATTTTCCTAAAAATCGACACCCAGTAGAGAAATACATTTTAGCAAAATAGAGACTCCATAAGTTCCACTTGATACGAGCAGTGTCCACAACTGTACACGGCACAGAAAAATAGCATTTTGAGTCAGAATCAGTGAAATTTTACATTCTTCTTAAAGGAGAGTTTACTTCCTGTCTCTTGGAGCACTTTGGTGCCGCTGCGTGACGTCAGGTGCAACCAGCGATAGTGACCCCCGCGGACAGGGCTCTTTCTGACTGAAGGACAGTTGTTTCTAATGAGATGAACTCAGGTTTTGGTGTCATTCATGAACAACATTTTACTTTTACAAGATTCTTTCCTTTGGGACGAAAAACATTTATAGTTTATGGAGAAAAACAAGGGATTTAATGCAGCTTTAAAGATCACAGATGCAGCAGGGGCTGAGAGAGACCAGAGAGAGACCAGAGAGAGAGACCAGAGAGAGAGACCAGAGAGAGAGACCAGAGAGAGACCAGAGAGAGAGACCAGAGAGAGACCAGAGAAAGAGACCAGAGAGAGACCAGAGAGAGAGACCAGAGAGAGAGACCAGAGAGAGACCAGAGAAAGACCAGAGAGAGAGACCAGAGAGAGAGACCAGAGAGAGACCAGAGAAAGAGACCAGAGAGAGACCAGAGAGAGACCAGAGAGAGACCAGAGAGAGAGACCAGAGAGAGACCAGAGAGAGACCAGAGAGACCCAGAGAGAGACCAGAGAGAGACCAGAGAGAGACCAGAGAGAGACCAGAGAGACCCAGAGAGAGAGACCCGGGAGAGACCAGAGAGAGACCAGAGAGAGACCAGAGACCAGATAGGGAGACCCGGGAGAGACCAGAGAGAGACCAGAGAGAGAGACCAGAGAGAGACCAGAGAGAGAGACCAGAGAGAGACCAGAGAGAAACCAGAGAGAGACCAGAGAGAGACCAGAGAGAGAGACCAGAGAGAGACCAGAGAAAGACCAGAGAGAGAGACCAGAGAGAGAGACCAGAGAGAGACCAGAGAAAGAGACCAGAGAGAGACCAGAGAGAGACCAGAGAGAGAGACCAGAGAGAGACCAGAGAGAGACCAGAGAGACCCAGAGAGAGAGACCCGGGAGAGACCAGAGAGAGACCAGAGAGAGACCAGAGAGAGACCAGAGAGAGAGACTAGAGAGAATCAGGTGAATATGGAACAACACAATGTTCCAAAAGCTGTTGCTGGTGTGTATTTTAATCCACAGCCATGAGTAAATAAAGGCTTATTAGAAAATATCTAAACCACAAGTGCCTTGGATTTTTTTGGATTTTCTAAGCTATTCACTATTTGCTTTTTACTTGGAAAGTCAAAACTTAATTTTTTGGTTACAGCTGTTGTTGGGTTTGAGAGAAACTCAGATGTGTGTGTTTGTAGATCTGCGTCACGCCTCGGGGCTGACAGACCCAAATGCATGCTGGGACGTGGGCGAGCTGCGGACAATATACATTTCACTGGTACAGATTAAAGCTGGGCTAAAACAGGACCAGGCCATATACAGTATACAGTACAGCTACACAGAGGACGCTAGGACTGGAAGAAGAGCTGCACACAAGCTAGCAGGAACCAATTACATAATAACCATAATAATAATAATAATAATAATGATCAAAGTCTCTTCACGTCATTATTCTTTCTCTCTAAACACGGTGGTGATAAACTACTACTGTAGCCACAGCTGCCCTGGGGCACACTGACAGAAGCCCCTCCCACCACCAACAACCATTCACACACACACCAGACTCATTCTAATGTGGGGGAAGTGTCTTGCCTAAGGACACAACCACAGTTCGGCACAGCTGCAGCCGCCCCACTGTGGCTGGCACTAACCAGGCCCTGCCCTGCTTAGCTTCAGAGGGCTGACAGGATCAGGCTTTCAGCAAGTGTGGGCATTTGTTCTAATGGGGTTAGATATTGTGGATAGTCTATCAGACCAGAGAGAGAGACCAGAGAGAGAGACCAGAGAGAGAGACCAGAGAGAGAGACCAGAGAGAGACCAGAGAGAGAGACCAGAGAGAAACCAGAGAGAGAGACCAGAGAGAGAGACCAGAGAGAGAGACCAGAGAGAGAGACCAGAGAGAGACCAGAGAGAGAGACCAGAGAGAGACCAGAGAGAGACCAGAGAGAGAGACCAGAGAGAGACCAGAGAGAGACCAGAGAGAGAGACCAGAGAGAGAGACCAGAGAGAGACCAGAGAGAGAGAGACCAGAGAGAGACCAGAGAGAGAGACCAGAGAGAGACCAGAGAGAGAGACCAGAGAGAGACCAGAGAGAGAGACCAGAGAGAGACCAGAGAGAGACCAGAGAGAGACCAGAGAGAGAGACCAGAGAGAGACCAGAGAGAGACCAGAGAGAGACCAGAGAGAGACCAGAGAGAGAGAGACCAGAGAGACCAGAGAGAGAGACCAGAGAGAGAGACCAGAGAGAGACCAGAGAGAGAGACCAGAGAGAGACCAGAGAGAGAGACCAGAGAGAGAGACCAGAGAGAGACCAGAGAGAGAGACCAGAGAGAGACCAGAGAGAGACCAGAGAGAGACCAGAGAGAGACCAGAGAGAGACCAGAGAGAGAGACCAGAGAGACCAGAGAGAGACCAGAGAGAGACCAGAGAGAGCTCAGAGAGAGAGACCAGAGAGAGAGACCAGAGAGAGACCAGAGAGAGAGACCAGAGAGAGACCAGAGAGAGAGACCAGAGAGAGAGACCAGAGAGAGACCAGAGAGAGAGACCAGAGAGAGAGACCAGAGAGAGACCAGAGAGAGAGACCAGAGAGAGACCAGAGAGAGACCAGAGAGAGACCAGAGAGAGACCAGAGAGAGACCAGAGAGAGAGACCAGAGAGAGAGAGAACCAGAGAGAGACCAGAGAGAGAGACCAGAGAGAGAGACCAGAGAGAGACCAGAGAGAAGACCAGAGAGAGACCAGAGAGAGAGACCAGAGAGAGACCAGAGAGAGAGACCAGAGAGAGACCAGAGAGAGAGACCAGACACACACACAAACACACACACACACACTGGACCTCACAACACACACACATATACATATTGGTCCTCACAACACACACACACTGAACCTCACAGCCCACACACACTGGATCTCAAAACACACAACATGAACAATAGACAACACCACAAACTGGTCCTCACAACACACACACACACACACTTGACCTCACAACACAAACAATAGACCTCACAACACACAAACAGGTACATACTGGTCCTCCCAACACACACACACACTTGTCTTCACAATGCACACATATTGGACCTCACAACACACACACAGGTCCTCACAAACTGGACCTCAACACACACACTCACACACACTGGTCCTCACAACACACACATATTGGTCCTCACAAGACAAACACTGGACCTCATAACACAAACAATAGACCTCACAACACACACGTACATAATGGTCCTCACAACACACACACACACAAGCCCGTCGGAGGGGCTGTGCAACCTGTGCCGTCGCACAGGGCCTCGCAATCTTCCTTCCTTTTTCTTTTAATGAATACACTAGTTCAAGGGTCCCCAAAGGGCGGACTGCGCTCCAAGTTCGGACCCTTAAACCCCTTTCTCTGGACCTCCGATTTCTTTTGATCAAAAGAACATTATCACAAGTCAAATTTTCACCAAAAGCGATTTGTGAACAGGCAGGCGCATGGGCAGCTATGTACGCAGCGGGTCCTCCGGAATTTTTTTTTTACGGAACTGTCAGATAACTTTGGACCTCACAACACACACACAGGGCCTCACAACACACACATACTGGGCCTCACCACACACACACTGGACCTCACAACACACACACACACAGGGCCTCACAACACACACACACACAGGGCCTCACCACACACACACTGGTCTTCACAATGCACACACTGGACCTCACAACACACCCATACTGAGCCTCACCACAAACACACACACACTGGACCTCAAAACACAAACACACACACACATACAGACACACACACACAAAGACACATACATACAGACACACCCACACAAAGACACATACATACAGACACACACACACACACTCACTCACCCCGCCCTGGAGCTCTTGTATTCCACTTTCAGGATTGGTCGACAAAGCTCCTGTTTCTTTCCGTCTTTGGTCTGTTTCCCTGAGAACAGACAGACTTAATATACAAATATGGCATCTATATCTCACAGTACTACTCCTACTACTACTATTACTGCTACTTTTCCCGCTATTCCTGATACTCCTGCTACTACTGCTACTGCTACTAATACTAATACTTCTACTGTTACTACTACTTCTACTGCTACTACTAATGCTACTTCTTCCCTAAATGAGGAGGGAGTTACCGGCTGGAGGTGCAACTGTTATGGAGAGAAAACACTGATGAATAAAGAGAAAACACTGATAACTGTTTGGACCATGAATGTGGTGCGTACCATGTGGAGTGATGATCTGCAGAGGCTTCACCGGAGACCGCACGCCCCACATAGTCAGGGTCCCATCAGAATGACTGCACACAAACTGTTTCCCCTCATGGTGCCAGGACACAGAGTGGATGGCCTGAGGAGAGACCAGAGAGAGACCGGGGGGGGGGGAGACCAGAGAGAGGCCAGAAAGAGACCAGAGAGAGACCAGGGGGGAAAGACCAGAGAGAGAGACCAAAGAGAGAGACCAGAAAGAGACCAGGGGAGAGAGCAGAGAGAGACCAGGGGAGAGACCAGAGAGAGACCAGAGGAGAGAGCAGAGACAGACCAGGGAAGAGAGCAGAAAATCAAATTTTAAAAGAATGCTGAGTTCATTTATTTTTTCTTTTCTAAATCTTTAATTCAGACACACACAAGGGTCCATATAAAACAGAAGAGAGACAAAAAACACAAACTTTCAATATTTACAACATTCTATAAAGACAGTTTCTCCAATTCCTCCAGAGATAAGAGGTGTGCCTAACACTGCTCTGTACAGTAAAAATATTCATTTTACATTGAAAGAGTCCTCACAGCGTTTCATGAACCTATATATAAAATGTCTGATCACCGTATTCAGAGTGGGGACATTATAAGAACACTGCATTCAGAGTTGGGACATTATAAGAACACCGCATTCAGAGTGGGGACATTATTAAGAACACCGCATTCAGAGTGGGGACATTATTAAGAACACCGCATTCAGAGTGGGGACATTATTAAGAACACCACATTCAGAGTGGGGACATTATAAGAACAACGCATTCAGAGTGGGACATTATTAGAACACAGCATTCAGAGTGGGACATTATTAAGAACACCGCATTCAGAGTGGGGACATTATAACTACACTGCTGCTGTGAAACTACACTGCTGCTGTGAAACTACACTGCTGGCTGTGAAACTACACTGCTGCTGTGAAACTACACTGCTGCTGTGAAACTACACTGCTGCTGTGAAACTACACTGCTGCTGTGACACTACACTGCTGCTGTGAAACTACACTGCTGCTGTGAAACTACACTGCTGCTGTGAAACTACACTGCTGCTGTGAAACTACACTGCTGCTGTGAAACTACACTGCTGCTGTGGAACTACACTGCTGCTGTGAAACTACACTGCTGCTGCTGTGAAACTACACTGCTGCTGTGAAACTACACTGCTGCTGTGAAACTACACTGCTGCTGTGAAACTACACTGCTGCTGCTGTGAAACTACACTGCTGCTGCTGTGAAACTACACTGCTGCTGTGAAACTACACTGCTGCTGTGAAACTACACTGCTGCTGTGAAACTACACTGCTGCTGTGAAACTACACTGCTGCTGTGAAACTAC